AACTTCCTAAACAGAACCACAAAGACCAACAGAAAATACTGTGTTGTCTCATGGTCTTTGGCGACCCCTCTGACACCCTCCTCGCGACTCCCCCAGGGGTCCCGACCCCCAGGTTGAGAAACACTGCACTATGGCATTCCCTCGGAGTATTTAATCATGGCTCTTGTGTTCCCATTCAACTTTATTTTTCCCAAGTTAAATGGACACAGCTCCCCAAGGCGCTTCTCAGAGGGATTCAGAGAATAGAATAGCTTTATTGTTATTGTGCTATTGCACAACGACATTAAATGCCTTCCTCAGCACACACCAGTTACAACTATCACCCCCCTTCCACACAGCTAAATAAAATCCCACATTTTCTGCTTTGAACTGGAATATATGTCAGTGTAGAATCACATAACCCTGTTCAAAGCAGATATTGTGGGATTTTCTGCCTGGATATTCTGAGTTATATGGCTGTGTGGGAGAGCCCTCGGCCTGTTTACCCTTGTCTTTGTCACCCTGAACCGTTTGCTAGGTGGTAATACTTCAAAAAGAGAATATGCTGGGCAAGATGGATCCCCAAGAATGTTCAGAGCTTTCATAAGGTTGCGGGACCTATAAAGTTCTTCCAAAGAGGGGAGAAAGAGGGCAACCAACATTTCTCTGTGCAGAGGTTGTGACCCTTTGGAGCATTTTCCTATCTGTCACTGTGCAGTTACCAAACCATGCACAGATGCAGTAGGTTAGGACACTCTCTAGAGCACAGTCGGAGAAAGTCGCCAGCACTTTTTCATTTATTCATAGTTTCCAGTCCTTAGGTCATTTTGGTGGCCCTTCTCTAAAGACCTTTTGTCTCACTGTCCACCTCCTTCTTGAACAGCTTTGCCCAGAATTGGACACAGTATTATTCCGAATGCTGAGCGTTAATTAGGTGAAATTGGTTTTATTGTTTTTTTGGTTTTATTGTTGCAATGTAGAAACTGATTGTTAATTGTTTAATTGCTGCTATATTGTTTTTATTCTACAGCTCCCCATGTTGATGCCGGCATCGAATTGTGCCTTTGTAAGCCGCTCTGAGTCCCCTCCGAGGTGGGAAGGGCGGGGTAGAAATAACCGAAATAAATAAATAAATAAATATTCCAAAATGAGGCCTGTCAAAGCAGAAGAGAGGAAGACTATTGATGCAGAGGTGTCAAACTCAAGGCTCTTGGGCAACATCCATTCCTCCATTTCCTTTTATGTGGCCCTCCTCCAGATGCTGGACTACAACTCCCGTATTATTCATCATTAGACAACATGACTAGAGCTGATGAGAGTTGTGATACATATGTAGTTTGTTATGGTCAATCAGCGGGGTTTGAATATAGAATCGGCTTGTGGATATGATGCCTGACTTTAAAATGCATTTTAACCTTTCCCTAACCTAAGAGCCACAAATGATGTTGGGCTGCCATTCCCATTGTCCTCAGTCTGCAGGGCAAATAACCAAAGGTAATGGGAGTTGGGGTGTTGTATGGCTTCTAGGCTGTCTGGCCAATGTGTTCTAGCAGCATTTTCTCCTGATGTTTTGCCTGCATCTGTGGCTAGCATCTTCCAAGGATCTTATAGTAATCAAGCAAGAGGAGTATATATGTCTAAGGAATGTCCTTTCTGTTGAGATTGTTCACATGCTTGTGGATTTCAGGGGCATCTCTGTGTAGTCTGAGATGGTGTCTAGAATGTTTGTGTTCTCAAATAATATTCTGCGTCCAGGTTAGTTCATCAAATGCTCTGGTATGGCTGACTTCTCTGGCTGAATGAGTCTGCAGTGCCTTTTGTGTTCTTTGATTTGTGTCTGGGCAATGCTGCATTTGGTGATGCCTATGCACTGGGTATGTGTCAGTTGGAAACACAACAAGATGAGACCCCTGCAAACAAGATCACTCTGCTGGCTGTTGTTTTGGATCACATGTCGGACACTTCCCAAGTGTCTAGGACTGTGTGATGTATGGGCGAATAATGCGTGCAGATCCCAGTAAGGTGGCCTTTTGCAGCTGGCAGATGGTAATTTTGTCAGTGCAGATTGTGTTTAAGTGCAAGCCAAGGTCTTTAGGCACTGCACCCAGTGTGCTGATCACCACTGGGACCACCTTTACTGGCTTGCGTCAGAGTCTTTGCAATTCGATTTTTACATCCTCACATCGTGTCAGCTTTTCTGGTTATTTTTCTTCAATCCTGCTGTCACCTGGGATTGGACAGCAACGGCTCCCAAAGTGACCCATTTAAGGTGTCAAACAGGGATGTGTTATTGCCCCAACTTTATTGTCCATCTTCATCGCTATGATACTTCACCTTGTTGATGGGAAGCTTTCCACCGAAGTGGAAATCATCTATCGGACAGACGGTAAGCTATTTAACCTCAGCAGACTGAAAGCCAAAACCAAGGTTACAACAACATCTGTTATAGAACTCCAGTATGCTGATGACAACGTTGTCAGTGCACATTCGGAAGAAGACCTAAAAGCTACTCTAAACACCTTCGCAGAAGCATAGCATACAAGAAGCTTGGCCTTTCATTAAACATCGAGAAAACCAAAGTGCTCTTCCAGCAGTCACCGGCCAACCCCTTTCCAATGCCAGAGATACAGTTTAATGGTGTAACATTAGAAAATATTGACCATTTCCGCTCCCTTGGCAGCCACTTCTCCACAAAAGTCAACATTGATATGGAAATTCAACACCGTCTGAGCTCTGTGAGTGCAGCATTTTTCTGAATGAAGCAGAGAGTGTTTGAGGACCGGGACATCCGTAGGGATACCAAGGGGCTTGTTTATAAAGCTATAGTGCTCCCAACCCTGCTATACGCCTGCAAGACGTGGACTGTCTACAGACATCAACATTGACACTGAAATACATTGACACATTGACATCAACATTGACACTGAAATACATTGACACTGAAATACAACACCACCTGAGCTCTGCAAGTGCAGCATTCTTCCAAATGAAACATTCTTCCTTCTCAACCTCTGAGGATGCTTGCCATAGATGCAGGCGAAACGTCAGGAGAAATGCCTCTAGAACATGGCTCTATAGCCCGAAAAAACCCACAAGAACTGAGTGATTCCGGCCATGAAAGCCTTCGACAATACATTGAAACAGAGAGTATTTGAGTACCAGGACATCTGTAGGGAGACCAAGGTGCTTGTTTATAAAGCCATTGTCCTCCCAACCCTACTATACGCCTGCGAGACGTGGACTGTTTACAGACGTCAACATTGACACTGAAATGCAACACCACCTGAGCTCTGCGAGTGCAGCATTCTTCCGAATGAAACAGAGAGTATTTGAGGACCGGGACATCTGTAGGGATACCAAGGTGCTTGTTTATAAAGCTATTGTCCTCCCAACCCTGCTATATGCCTGCAAGACGTGGACTGCGAGACGTGGACTGTCTACAGACGTCAACACTGACACTGAAATGCAACACCACCTTAGCTCTGCGAGTGCAGCATTCTTCCGAATGAAACAGAGAGTATTTGAGGACCGGGACATCCATAGGGATACCAAGGTGCTTGTTTAGAAATCTATAGAAATCTATAGTCCTCCCAAACCTGCTATACACCTGCGAAACGTGGACTGTCTACAGACGTGAACATTGACACTGAAATACAACACCACCCGAGCTCTGCAAGTGCAGCATTCTTCAGAATGAAACAGAGAGTATTTGAGGACCGGGACATCCGTAGGGATACCAAGGTGCTTGTTTATAAATCTATTGTCCTCTCATAGAATCATAGAATCAAAGAGTTGGAAGAGACCTCATGGGCCATCCAGTCCAACCCCATTCTGCCAAGAAGCAGGAATATTGCATTCAAATCACCCCCGACAGATGGCCATCCAGCCCCTGTTTAAAAGCTTCCAAAGAAGGAGCCTCCACCACACTCCGGGGCAGAGAGTTCCACTGCTGAACGGCTCTCACAGTCAGGAAGTTCTTCCTAATGTTCAGATGGAATCTCCTCTCTTGTAGTTTGAAGCCATTGTTGTGTCCTAGTCTCCAAGGAAGCAGAAAACAAGCTTGCTCCCTCCTCCCTGTGGCTTCCTCTCACATATTTATACATGGCTATCACATCTCCTCTCAGCCTTCTCTTCTTCAGGCTAAACATGCCCAGCTCCTTAAGCCGCTCCTCATAGGGCTTGTTCTCCAGACCTTTTATCATTTTAGTCGCTCTCCTCTGGACACATTCCAGCTTGTCAATATCTCTCTTGAATTGTGGTGCCCAGAATTGGACACAATATTCCAGTTGTGTTCTCCTGCTATACACCTGCAAAACGTGGACTGTCTACAGACGCCACATGCAACTCCTGGAACGATTCCATCAACGCTGCCTCCGGAAAATCCTGCAAATCTCTTGGAAAGACAGGCGAGAAATATCAGCTGCTGGAAGAAGCAAAGACCACCAGCATTGAAGCGATGATCCTCTGCCATCAACTCCGCTGGACCAGCCACGTTGTCCGGATGCCACCCCACCGTATCCCAAAGCAGTTGCTCTATTCTGAACTCAAGAACGGAAAACGGAATGTTGGAGGTTCAGTTTAGAGGAAAGACTTCAGATATGCTGATGGTCAGGCAGGAGAACTGGGAAGCCCTGGCCCTTGAGCGCTCCAGCTGGAGGTCAGCTGTGACCAGCAGTGCTGTAGAATTTGAAAAGAGAAGCATGCCAAGAGAAAGGTGTGTCAAGCCAACCCCGACTGGGACCACCTTCCACCTGGAAACCAATGCCCTCACTGTGGGAGAAGATGCAGGTCAAGAAGAGGGCTCCACAGTCACCTAGGGACCCACACTGTTTGTAGGAGTTTGGGACTACAACTCCCACAATTCCTCACAGTCTCAGGCCCTTTCCTTTTCCCCCTCTGCCCCTTAAGCGGCTGAGGGGGGAAAAGGAAGGGGCCTGAGGCTGTGAGGAATTGTGGGAGTTGTAGTCCCAAACTCCTACAAACAGGGTAGGCCCAAATTAGCCTGCTGAGGCCTTCCTTACCTTGAGGGTGACGTCGCAGAGCTTCCCTTGCCTGCGTATCTCTCCCATCACGCCGTAGCCCCGGCTGGGCAAGTCCCCCACCGAGAAGTGGACCAAATCCTCCGGGTCCAGCTCCGGATCCGGGCCCGCCGTTTCCAGCATGGCGGCATCACTTCCTCCACCTCCTCCTCCTCCTCCGCTTGGCCCCGCTCGGCCACCGTCGCCGCACCGCTTTCACTGAGAGAGTGAGAGAAACGCCGGAAGTGACGTCCTTGATACCCTCTTCCCTTCTCTGCCTGACGCCCCGCCCCCTTTGCGCTTTGAAGCCTCTCCTGACGTCACCGGGAGGGCGGGGTTTTGGGAAGGGAAGGAAGCGGGCGTCGCCTAGGCAACGGGGAGACGCAGGAAGTGGCGGTCGCCACAGCAACGCGGGGAGAACCACCCTTCGCGCGTGCGCTCTCTCTCGCTCCTTTTCAGACGGGTTTGTGAAATAGGTTGTTGTTATGATTATTACTATAACGAATCATTATTATTATATTATATATATATAATAAAATAGATTATATTATATTAATATTATATTAATATTATTAATAATTATTATATTAATATTATAGTTAATATGAATATTAATATTAATAAATGCTAATAATAATAATAATAATAATAATGAAGGTGATCAGCTAAACATTCACATCTAGCTCCAGCTGACAAGAGTCCTTTGTCCCACCCTGGACATCATTCCACAGATATATAAACCCATTGCCCTAATTCCAACAGACCTCTCTACCTCTGAGGATGCTTGCCATAGATGCAGGCGAAATGTCAGGAGAGAATGCTCCTAGAACATGGCCCTATAGCCCGAAAAAACCCACAAGAACCTATTAATATTAATATTATTAATTAATATTATATTAATATTGTTATATTATTATAATATATTAATACAATATTAATTATTATATTAATATTATAATTAATATTGTATTGTATTAATATTATTATATTATATATGTAGTATTATATATATATTATGATGGCACACCGGGAAGATAAAGGAGAAAACTAAATGTGCCTGGCTATTTTCCCAGTGACCATCGGTATGCCCTAATTACTTTAATGCCCCCAAAATAAAACTCTACAAAACAAGATTAAGTTCAACAATTATTTACTGAATTTACGGGATGCCTGGCTCGAGAGCAGTACGTGTGAAAAAGATCTTGGAATCCTCATGGACAACAAGTTAAACATGAGCCAACAATGTGATGTGGCGGCAAAAAAAGCCAATGGGATTTTGGCCTGCATCAATAGGAGCATAGTGTCTAGATCTAGGAAAGTCATGCTCCCCAGGCTCTATTCCGCTTTGGTTAGACCACACCTGGAATATTGTGTCCAATTCTGGGCACCACAATTCAAGAGAGATGTTGACAAGCTGGAATGTGTCCAGAGGAGGGCGACTAAAATGATCAAGGGTCTGGAGAACAAGCCCAATGAGGAGCGGCAGAGACATCTCCAGCTCATCCCCTGTTTGGGTATCAGCCAGCATGGGTAAAGTAGTGTCCATGTGTGGACAAGAGGCAGCTTCTGTGGGTTTGTAATTTGTACTCGCTTACTACTGACTACACTTCCCACTCTCACATCCCTATGTGATTTGAAAGTGGGAGAAACTATGTCGCTGTTGTTCCCTTTAATTCTCCCCTTTCCTCCCTTCGTCCCTCCAGCATCCATCACAATGTGTGCCAGTATGAAGAGGATCACTGCGTTCGCACGAGTCAAGCCAACAACTGACTTTCCCCAAGATGTGCTCAAGTTTCGGCCAGACAATAAGGTAGGTGAGCATTAAAGTGGCCACAACTAGGAGTTTTTTTGGTTGAGGATGGTGATGATATGTGCCTTCAATTCATGTCCAAGTTATGGCCTTGAGATGAATCCACCGCGGGGTTTTCTTGGTTAGATGTGTTCAGAGGAGTGTTTGTCTTTGCCCTCCTTTGAGGCTGAGAGAGCATGACTAGTGGGTTTCCATAGCCAAGTGGGGATTTGAGTTCTAATCCAGTGCTCAGACCAATGCACTACATTGTCTATTTGGATTTGCTATAGTACTATAGTTGTGCTGGTACGGCTGTACCAGGAGCTCCAACTTTATTTGCTTTGTATTAAATGTTTGCTTGCAGTCCAAGGTTTCAGGGATTCTGCAGAAAAGTGGCTTCCTTTGGTTGCAGTCGTAGGGCAAGTCACCTGACCATCATCGTTAAGTTTTGGTTCCGCCCCTTGTTCAGGGCAATTGGGAAGGGAAGGGAACCATTTTTAGTTAGTCTCAGTAAGGAAAGCTAATTTAGAAGATGTGTACAAGATTCTCCTGTACAAAAGTTTCAACCCTTAAGACTTTCTGGGGGAAAACAGTCTTAAGAGCATCCAAAGATTTCCAAAGATTTCCAGGGAAACAGCCCTAAAGCTTTGAGGAATTTCGGAGGGTAAACAGTTTGGAAGACCAAAGAACTCCAGCTGGAGAATCTACTGGTAGGTCCACTCGGTGCTCGAGACGCAGTTCGACCCAGTAGCAGAGCCCACATCAGTAAGACTTAGATTACAGTCAGCCTGGGACAAGTTAAAAGGGGATTTTCCTTTAAAGTAAAGAAACAGTTATTAAAGACAATTGCCTGTCCTTCGTAGACAAGATTAAGGAAGCCACAAGTTGCAAAAAGCCTGGAAGCATGTGTTTAACTTTATTGAAGACTAGAGAAGTTTCTGTTTGATTGTTCATTAATAAAGGACTTTGTTATACTTCACAAGCCATCTAAAGACCATTAGTGGTGGAAAATCCTTGAGAACTTCTCTTTGGGGTCCCCTGGCTTCCCGCTGGGCAAAGGTTGCATATCCTATTTTAAAAGCAATTCATTACAGGCCCAGCGCGTGACAGAACAATAGTACTCTACTTCTGATGGCTTGGAGCCACATATGGCCACAGCACCACACCAGAGTCCAGAGTATAAGCAAAGAGATTACTGTAAAACACATAAAAATACAAGGGATATCCGGAACCCATCAGTCCCTGGCTGCTGAGCTACAAAATGGAGTTAGAACTGTATTATATGACCAGTGTAGACTCATATAACAAAGATTGAACTGAATTATATGACTCCACACTGCCATATGCTTATAATAACAGTGTAGATGGGGCCTTAGATTCATATCTACCTGATTTATTGCTTGTCCTGACTTTCAGTTTATCTCTTTTCTAGACCATAGATGTCTACACGGAGAGAGACCTCTCGAAAGGCATTGTCAACAACAAGCAGACAAACTGGTCTTTTAAATTGGACGGTGTCCTCCACAACGCCCCTCAGGAAATGGTTTATAATGTGTTGGCCAAAGGTCTGGTCAATCAAGCCCTGAATGGATATAATGGTAACATTTCACACCGTTATTCTGATATTCATCTATTTCTAGGGATGTAAATATTTTCTCCACCTAACCAGGAAGAGTCTCTCTGCTGTAAGAGATGTTTGGCAACGGAATAGCATGCCTCTCCATCTTTGAAGGTTTTTAAACATTGATGAGATAGACGTCTTACTTTGCCCATTCTTGTTAGGATGGATATTCAAGCTATGTTTAATGTGTTTAAAAGCTTTCATGGCTGGAATCACTGTTGTGAGTTTTCCGGGATGTATGGCTATGTTTCAGAAGCATTCCCTCCTGACATTTTGCCTGCATCTATGGTAGGAATCTTCAGAGATTGTGAGGTCAAGCTATGTTTGTTGAGGTGGAGGGAGGATTATGTCAGAAATATTAAAAATCAACTATGTATTTTTAAGTACAAAAATGTGAGTCAAGCACCAAAAGAGTTAAATAGATGCAATGGCTCAGCAAAAGCTGTAGTTCTGTATAAGCAGGTGTTCCTGTAGCTTAGTAGTCCTCAGTCTGAAAGAGGTCTATGTCGCAACTCAGGGTAGTTTTCACCTTGCTCAAGATACCACCACACACCAAGGCTGTAGGTTTTGTAGTTTATTGAGAAAAAGCAAAATCAAAACAGAGAAATAAAGATGCAAAAGTCCAATAGGCAAAACAGAGTCTTAAATGCAAAGGCAAAGTTCCCAAGATCCAAAGGCAAATAACATGAAGCATAATCCCTTAGCAATGGTCAAACAAGAGTCCATGGTAGACAGGTAACATCAGGATCAAAAAAGTCTCAAAAAAGCCAGAAGCGTTCTGCAAAAGCCAAGGTAATTCCACAAACGTTAACAAGGAAAGAGCAACATTGAACTGACAGAAAATGTCTGTCGGTTTCATCATTAAATAAGTTTCTCTGACATGAAAGCATTGCGTTGACCTTTGGCTTCACGATTGCTGGCAAGACATGTGCTTCTGCAAACTCTTAACTGTAAACGATCCTGTCTACTTATTAATTCACGATTATCTTCAAGGCTGGACAACTCATTATCTCGGCCCAGCTGAGCCTGATCTCCCTGGGAACCAAAAGGAGTTTCCACCTGCAGTTGTGGAGTTTATTTATTTAAAGGTACATTCCTTTCTCCGGGGAACAGACTTGCTGTTTCTTCCTCAGAAGCCACACTATCAGCCCCGTCTGGAACATGTACAGAAATCTATAACTCATCAGCCTCCTCGTCATCCTGCAGAAAGTCAGGCTCAGAAGGCTCAGCTGGCCCAGAAGGTCCAGCATGCCCAGACAGTTCAGTCTCAGACTCAGGCTCAGACTGAGCCACAACAGTCTATGCGGGAGAAGGGCCTCAGTGTGTTAGTACGCCTCAGTATGAGAAGGCCTCAGTGTTAGTTTGCCTCAGTGTTTGAGAGGCATCACTCTGAGGTAGCCCTCAGTGTGATAATGCCTCAGTGGGAGAAAAATTCCAGTGTGAGGAAGGCCCCAGTTTGAGAAAGCCTATCCACTCACCCAACAGATTACTCACGAGGCAGCCAAAAATTAATAAACCTTTTAGTGACGCATTGTGTTCTTGGGAGGCCTGCGTAACAATCTTTGGACACAACCCACCTTTCTAGTGCTTTGTCTTCATCTTTTCTAGGTACTATAATGTGTTACGGGCAAACAGGGGCTGGTAAGACTTACACCATGACAGGAATGACGGAAAACTACCTCAATCGAGGGATCATCCCCCGAGCCATACAACAGGTAATTCGGAGTGTGATACAAAAGATGTGAGTGTTAAGGAGAAACCTGGAAAGGCCGTCTGTCTGTGGTCCTGCTATTTGTATTGTTCCTGCTGATCATATCAGTGCGGAAAACACCAATGCTGGAGTACAGTTGGTACTTTCCAACAAAGGTGGTGGGTCAGAGCTGTTTCTTAAATTGTCTACAGCAAGCTGACCTTGATTGTGAATGCTTTGCCTTTTGTTTGGTAAGAAATGAAGGAGTATTTGGTATCTATGGCAGAGGATAGTGAAGCAAAGCTAGTGCTATATATGAACCTATGGTAGGAAACTGGAGAGAAAATATGCAAGATGCTGTGGTGAGATTTAAAAAGGGCAAACGCTTACTGTCTATACTCGAGTACAAGCCTAGTTTTTCAGCCCTTTTTTTAGGCTGAAAAAGTCCCCCTCGGTTTATACTTGAGTCAATGTTATTTATTATATTACCCTATTGTTATTGTTATTATTATTATTATTATTATTATTATTACATTTATTATTATTACATGTATCATTTTTCTCTATTATTACATTTATTATTTTACTTTATTATTGTTCTTATTATTACATTTATTATTTTACTCTGTTATTATTACATTTCCATTACTTTACTCTGTTATTATGATTACATTTATTATTTTACTCTATTATAATTATTACTATTATTATATTACATTTATATTATTTCACTATTATTATTATTATTATTATTATTATTACATTTATCATTTTACTCTATTGTTACATTTATTATTTTACTCTGTTATTATTACATTTCCATTACTTTACTCTATTATTATTACATTTATTATTTTGTTCTCTTTATTATTATTGGAAAGATACGTAAGCACATTTACATTGAAGAAGGTTAGAATAATGATTTAATCAGAGTTGGGCAGTCTTATCTTAAATTAAATTTATTTTTGAAATTTATTAGTAGCTGCTGCATTTCCCCCTCCCTTGGGTTCCAGATACCCCATATTTCACTGAGTAATAGTCGCACCCTCATTTTTTGGAGTGGCAAAATTTGTATTTTTGTGTTCCCCACATAATAGTCGCAGAGCGATTTGGTGCTTTTCCTTCCTTCTTTCCTTCCTTCCTTCCTTCCTTCCTTCCTTCGAAGGCAAAGTAGTTTACAAACTTTTAAATTGAGCTTCACTTTTCCCTCCTTCCTTCAAAGAGCTCCATTTCAGATATTGTAAATGACCTTGGAGAAAGAAAGAAAGAAAGAAGGGTGAGGCTTCCCTCCAGTTTAAAAAACCAAAGAGTCAGAAACAGAGCTGTTTGTTTGAGCCTGAATCATCCCTCCTACTCTGCTTTCATTTAATTTTTTTAAAAAAACCCAGAAACTAGGGAATTAAAGGCGGATTTTTTTCCTCGCATAATAGTCGCACCTCCCCTTTTGATGGAAAAAGAAGGGAAAGTGCGACTATTATGTGATGAAATATTGTTTTGCCCCACAACTAATAATAATAATAATAATAATAATAATAATAATAATCTTTATTTATACCCCACCACCATCTCCCCAAGGGGACTCAGGGCGGCTTACATGAGGCCAAGCCCAACAACACATCAATAAACAACAAAGCAGCAAGCAAATAAAACAGTACAATTAATATAACTCACATATAAGCAATAAACACAAAAATTTGAAAACCTTATGGCCGGGCCAGATGTAATAGATTAAAATTTTAAAATAAACACTGGGCGTGAACAGGGATAGGATGTATCTACAACTCCCATCAAAGTGCCAGAATGGTGAGCTGTGCGGTCCAGGCCATCTGAATTGTTCTTGGGGTGGAGCGGCTACATAAAAGTATCTCTACTTTCTGGGTGGGATAATCCAATTGTACAGTGCTTTCACCTTTTGTGTCCTGTCCTTATCCATTCTGTGCAGGAGAGCATCTCACTCTAGTTAGTAAGCACTCCTTCCCCTCTTGAGAAGGAAAAAGACATACATAACCTCTTTGCGTCTCTTTCAAAAACCTGATCCAGTTGAGGCAAAGCTTCCAATCCTTCTCTTGCAGGTCTTCAAGTCAGTGGAGGAACATGGGAGCCAGTTCATCTCTGTGCGGATTTCTTACATGGAGATCTACAACGAGACCATCTTTGACCTTCTCTCCATGATGCCTTTGGGGGCAGTCAATGATGTGCCTCTGTCTGTTGTGGAGACCCCCTGTGGGGTCTCAGTGAAAGGGTTGACTGTACATCCTGCCCCAAGCGAAGAAGTGGCTTTAAATCTTCTGTTTGAGGTAAGATAATCTCCCGGCCGTCTTCCCTGGAAGAGACTTACATAGATGAGAGAACGCAATTACAGAATCCATATTTTCCCTCTGGTTCAGCTCCAGTAATAATCGAGCCCAGCTCTGTATGACCATTGTGAACATTTTGACTATTTCAGCATCCTTTAGAGACGTCTAGGAGCCATTGCATTGTAAAATCAGCCCATGGCTGAACCTTAGGCTAGATCTACACTGCCCCATACAGACCATCCCGGGTTCTGCGGTCAATGGCTCTCCTCTCGGTCCCACCCTTGTCACAAGTTCGGATGGTGGGAACGAGAGAGGAAGCCTTCTCCGTGATCACTCCCTGTCTCTGGAACTGTTTTGAGACTATTTCTTGTAATGTTTATTTATGTTTTAGTTAATCATGTCTTACTTATTATTCTGTTATATGTTTATCTCAATGCTTAATCCTTTGTGGTAAACTCACTATTATTATTGTGCTCTGTCGTGTATTTTGACATGTTTTTGACATTTTTGTAGACGCTTAGTAATTGAATGTCTGTCTTCTTATCTGTAAACCGCCCTGAATCCCCTCAGGGAGAGAGGGTGGTATCGAAATAAAGTATTATTATTATGGGTTGTTGAAGGTTTTTTCGGACTATATGGCCATGTTCTAGAGGCATTCTCTCCTGACGTTTCGCCTGCATCTATGGCAAGCATCCTCACAACCTCTGTGAAATTCCCATATATGCAGGTGAAACACCAGGAGAGGATGCCTCTAGAACATGGCCATATAGCCCAAAAAGAGAAATTCGTCCAGTGGTTTTTGAGTTCTGTTAATCCCATAAACGAACATTACATTTTTATTTATATAGATTACTTGCCGTCCCCTACCATGCGTTGCTGTGGCCCAATCTGTGTATGTGTGGTTTTTTTGTGTATATATGTTTATATGTGTGTTTACGTGTTTATATGTGGTTTTGTGCATGCGTTGTAATGTATTTTTAGGTGCTACAAGATCACCTTCAATTCAAATATGTATTTTTATTTCTTTAAGCTAATATCTTATACAATAGACTATTACAAATTCATTTTTTACTTTTCTCAAAAAATGTGGAATGTAGTTTCATAACAGTGTAGCAGTATCTTTTAAATATAGAATTAACCTGAATGAAACAGATTGTAGCCAGTTCTGATGTTGATGGAAGTATCAATACATTGGGTTGTTGTAGATTTTTTCGGGCTATATGGCCATGGTCTAGACTGAGGCATTCTCTCCTGACGTTTCGCCTGCATCTATGGCAAGCATCCTCAGAGGTAGTGGGGGCTGGAACTAGGAAAAAGGGCTGAAA